AATTTACAGCTTTGTGATTTTGAATCTGAAGTGGTCAAGTGTGCACACAGTTTCTAGTAATGCCAAAGGAGCTAACTGACCAAAACAGACACAGTACAGGTACATAAACTGTGCTTCAATTTGGAAATATGAGCCTCCCAAACGATATATTTACCTGTGCAAAATAGGAGGATGTAGTAGATCTTTTGTAACCTGACTTGGTGGGGTGGGGTGGGATGGGGAGAAATCATTTTTGGGAAAAGGTATACAGTTATGGTATTGACAGATAAATTGGTTACAAGTTACGGTTTGTTGAAAACATGTTTAAGAACCATCCCTTGCTGCTAATATGCCAAATTTATATTTACGGTGTTAGTTAACCTTTTCCTTATGACTCACAATAGAACTTTCTATTTATATGTTTTCTAATTAGAGTAAGTGAATATATAACCATTGATTGTGCTGGGCAGAATGTCGTCATGGCAGCATTTCATTAGAGTAGGTTGTAAAAGAGAGGGAGCATTGCCTTACTTCAGGTTGGTAATCCAAATTTCTTGCCATTCCTGATACTTTTGAATACTGCATTTTATTATCTCCAGATTAATATGGCTCTGCTACTTCTGTCAAGCCATTGTTAAGTGCTTTACAGATGTGCAAAACAACATTTTTGGTTATTGTTGTCTTAAGTCTGTAAAATAATTGAGTGTGCTGGTCGTTGACTGTAACAACAAATTTGATTTGTTTTAAGTGAGATGTAAGCAATGATTTAATAAATATTGTTTCTGAAGGCACCCACCAGTTCTCCGTTCTTTAGTTTACTTCAGGTTCCTTTGTGCAGAACTGGTTTCTAGTGTTCCTATGTTTTTTTTTAATCAATTTGCCTGTTATCTATTGTGAAACTAGTGGTCTGTACATAAGGGTGTGTTGAGGCATATTGCTTATACTTAGGTTTGCCAACTCCAGGTTGGGAAATTCATGGAGATGTGGGGGTGGAACCTGGGGAGGGACCTCAGCAGGGTATAATGCCACAGAGTCCACCCTCCCAGCCAGCCATTTTCTCCTGGGGAAGTGATCTCTGTAATCTGGAGATAGTTGTCATTTTAGGGGATCTGTTTATACTTCTGAATTAGTTGAGGATTGTATGCTGTTGCACATTGGTGGGTAATAGTTGCATGTTTGGTCATCATGAATGAAAGTGCTAGGATAGGGACTCTGGGGCAAGTGATGCTCTGTCATCTTGGTGCTTGGGGGGGTCAACAGTGGGATGGCTTCTAATGTCCTGGCCCCACTGGTGGACCTCCTGATGGCACTGGTATTTCTGGCCACTGTGTGATACAGAGTGTTGGACTGGATGGACCTTTGGCCTGATCCAACATTGGCATCTCTTATGTTCTTATGTTCTTATGACTGAATTTATACCATCACATCAATTTTTTAAAAATATACACTCTACAGACATCACCTTTGAAACCAATGTGTTAAACAGAAACATTATCCATAAAGTCTGGTAAATCCATGTGGGGGAATTTATCCTATTTACAGCATATGAATTACAATGTTCAGCATAGTGACATCATGCTATGCAGTTGTGCATGGAGTTACATTACTGGGCTGACAAAGCAGGTCAGGTGTGTCTTGCAGATGCCTGCGGTTGGCATTGAACTGTAGTGTGAACTGTAGGCATGCTTCTACTTTCATTCTCTAAACCGGTATTTTTCTTCAGCAGAGTTAGTAATACATCTGACCTGCCTTGTCAGCTAGACTTGCCTTGTCAGCCCTATAATATGATACAAGACATAGTAAAAAAAATTTCACCTACTTCAAATGATGTATTATTTAATTTGTGCCTCAGAACTGTGCAAAAAGATAAAGTTCAATTGAGTCTTGAAATAGCTGTGATATTGGGTTTAGGGCTAGTGTGGTAGAGTGATTCAAGTATTGCACAAGGTCTGGGAGGTTTGAGTTCAAATCTTTACTCAGCCATGAAGCTCAGTGGGTGATCTTGGTCCAATCTCTACTTCTCAGTCTAACGCATCCTACAGGGGTATGTTGTAAGCATTATTTACATTTATTTATTTAAAACATTTCTATTCCACCTTGCCACCTAATTCAGGTTCCCTAAGTCAGTGATCATTAAAACATTTGAGACATTAAAAAGCATTTAAAGTACAAATATATATGTAAAACATGTAAAATACATGAAATATAATATAAACACATACAAGCACACAAACAGGGAGGAGAGCTAGTAAGAGTGAGGGAACACCAAACAATAACAACAACAAAATCCTCATCTTCTGGTGGAAAACAACAATAGATGGGACACAGATGGCTCTCCCTGGGGAGGATGTTTCAAAGTTTTGGTGCAACTGAGAAGGCCCTATCTCAGGCTGCCACCCTTTTAGCCTCAAATGGTAGGGGCACCCAAAGAAGGGCCTTCAAAGGTGACCAGAGCAGGCCCGTAGCTACATTGGAGCCTTTCGGATCCCGCCTCCCTGACTTACCACCAAGGCCCCCCAACTTCCAGCCCAGGCCCCCCAGCATACATTCAGTTTTCAACACTACATTACTCATAAGAGAGGATAAAAAAACTCATCAGATTATATAGAGGACAGACTGTGCTGCTGTTAACTTATATCAAATTTATATTGTGCAGGTTAAAACTTCCCTAAATAACATTGCAGGTGTCTTTTAATGGTGAAATCACTTAACAGTAAACATCACTCAGATATGAACTTTAAAATATATGAACTTTAAAACTACAAAGTAATGATGCATTGCAGATAGTGGGGGGACATTGCAGGCAAAAATAATTAAAATGCAGATTGTTGTTGCTAAAAATATAATGGGATCTTAATGTATTAATTGGGAAAATGTTTGCTGTTTAAAAACAAAAATGAGACATTCCCAACAAAGTTTGTACTTTTGATATCTGGCTTGGATTTAAAAAAAACCCCAAAAAACCTATAGCTGCCTAATTGGTCATAATTGCTATCAGCTAAGTGAAGGATGAACTGTAACTTAGTAGTTAGCTTTTGTGATGGGCTCAGTTTTTCAGTCCTGCCTCTTAACTCCTGGCCTGGTACTGAACAGCCTTGTTCTTAACTGATGCATGTAACTAGCGACCTATCATAGTACTATCCAGACTGGAGATACCTCAGATGGTTTATGCTGGCAAGGAATTTGTGTTTGTGTAATAACATGCCTCTGTTATGCATCTTGTGGCATTCTCAGACATCTTGAATGTAAAATATGTGGCATATTTTGTATAAGGTTTATATTTATATGTATTATATATAATATAAATGGACCGTCATAATAAGTAAGGAGGATTTTGGCATGTTCTGGTTTGACTTGGGTATATGCTTTTGTTCATGCTAATAGTTATCATCTTCTCTCTGGCTCCATTGTAGTAATGAGGTCGGATAGGCTGTGGTAGAAAATGCAAATCTAGGTCATTGCATATGTAAATGTACAGCTGTAGTCTTGGCAGATGCCAGAGTGTATCAACTGAGGTGTCCAGTTGTCACCCAGCATTAATGGGGGTTGGCAAGCCGACTTCCATGGCTGAACCATATTGCAAGGAGTTAAAGCCAGCATGCTGATCTGCTAGCATGATGTGAAGGAAGTTCTGAAGAACTTTTTTGATTTAAAATATTAACTTGATATGAATATTGACTTTAAAATTTGCATGTTACAAACTTTATGATGATACTTTGTATCATTATGTCCATGGTATGCTTGGCTGTACATTGCAGTATGTGATGTTGGGATGTGTGAGATAATGTTATTAGTTTATGTAAAAGTCAAAAGATTTCTATACAAGTTGTTGCTTCTTGTATTTTTGGAGAGACTCTGGAATGTTTGGGACATTAAATATGTTGGATTATGTCCCAACCATGCTGGAAATGCTTACTCCAGCTTTTCATCAAAGCTTTAAGCTTCCACTCTGTTACTACCTGCTTTGTGATAGAAAGTGCTATCCAGAATTTGCCTCAGAGGATCTCTCCATCTTGGCAGTCATAGCTTTCATACCAGTGGTGGAATCGTGAGCATCTTTTCTAATGCCCATAAGGCATATAGTGCAAGAGATTTCCAGAATGGTGTGGGAAATAGGTTACATAATACTTCAAGGGGAAAGGATGGGGAGAAGTGCCTCAAATGTTTCCTGCTGCATTGTGGAAACAACTTTTTAACCAGCTGCATTGGGAAATCCCATATTCTAGTACCAAGAAAATGACTGTGATATTACTGATGGCAGCTGCGTCCTCCTCTCACTCAAATTCTCTTGAAATTTTTAGTAGCGAGGAATTTGAGCACTACAGGCTGGAATTATTTTACAAGGCACCATATTGACCACTCAGGAGGAGCCAGGGATAGTATTTTTAAAAGAACAATTTAACAAAGACATTTGAGAAGGAGGATAAACGCATAAATATGCACTTCTGTAACAACAGCCGAGAGAAGTTAAACTGCAGCCTAGTCAGATTGTATGCAAGACTAGTTCAGATGAGGGGAGTATTGACTGATGCTTAATGCCTCCCATTGGGACAGGAGACAGGGTAGGGACAGAATTTCCTGTGACACCAATGGGAGTCACCCTGCTTTGGTAGCTATGTTCTTACCTCAGCAAGGATGTATACCTCAGGGTACGCTGATGGTGTCCTGCATGCCCAAACAGCTGGTGACAGAACAGATGTTTCCTGGAGAGGTATAGTGGATTATCCATGAAACTGATGCCATGGGGTGGCTACAGTTGTGTTGGAATACATTAGGTGCACTCTGGAGGGTAATAGCAGGAGATATCACTGGAATACTTTAGCTGGGAGGAGTTAGATTTGCTGCAATTTTGAACACCACTGCTCAAACTAACCTCTGATTAGTATAACTATTTTTTGCTTCTGATTATTTATATGGCAGTAGAGGGGAGTATGTGAGTGTCTATGTATCTGGGGACTATGATATGGATTGTACTTCATTTAATCTAATTTACTCACTATTGTTTTTCTTTCCCCATCAAGCAGAGGCACTTGACATCATATCCATATCGCTGCACACTAGCAGACTTTCAGATAGAGAAAAAGATTGGACGAGGGCAATTCAGTGAAGTCTACAAAGCAACTTGTCTTCTGGACAGAAAACCAGTAGCACTGAAGAAAGTGCAGGTGAGCATCTTAACGACCAAAAGACCAATTTCATATGAGTAACTGATAACTTTTTCTACTACTTTTGAGCATAAATATGCTGGCCAGCTTTCCTGTTCGATGTTTTTTCACCTGTGAATGTTAAAGTTTGGTTCAGACAGTAATTTCCTCAAGATCTTTTTATTTGTGGAATTTGCCATGCACCTCACTTTCATTTCTTGTGTGTACTATTATTTAGTATTTCATGTTCCATAGGTAGACTAGATTTTTACATTTGACATATTCTGGAATACTTTCTGAGTATACATTATCCACCCACTTATGTGGTGAAGGTACTTTATTTAAAGTAGCATTGATTATGCTAACATCATCTTTGCTGGTAGTATTTTTTCCTAATCCTTGAGCAGATTGTTTAGAGTTCCACTAACAGTGAGTTGCCCTCTGATTTTGAGAGTGAATATTAATGTTCTTTGCTTTTAATTAGCAGAGGGGAATATGCAAAAGAAGGCAATTTATTTTGTCAATAGAAAGGAGAAACATAATTGTGCATTATGAGAAGTGCTAGATCATTATTACTGATTGTTTCCCTAGCACTTTTCAGCATGTTCTTATGATTCTCATTTATTTGTATGCTGTAATTTACTTTGGTTTTTTAGAGGTCAACAAACTGATAAAGAACTAACAAGCTACACTTTACACACACACCTATTTTAGCTTCATTTTCTAAATGTTGTTGGTACATTTTCTTTTTTGTTTACAGATATTTTTAGATTTTAAACTACAAGAAGTCTGATGACTGCAGTTTGGGTATTGTTAATGTAGGAAGTTAGGGATTGTGGTGATATAGAACCTGAAAAGTGTAGGATCTTCCATATTTCTTGCTTGACTTTTAAGCTCTATTTTTTTTCCTTTTGAAGATATTTGAAATGATGGATGCCAAGGCTAGACAAGATTGCATTAAAGAAATAGACCTTTTGAAGGTAAGAATTTCTCCAGGTCTGTTGATGATGTTTTGGTAGTGAGCTGGCTATTGTCTTCAAGTGTAACCTAAGATAAGCGGGAAATGTATACAGTCTCTGTAAGAATTCTTTTATTTAGGGTCTGGTTGCAAAGCTCTGACACCTCAATTCTTTTTTTTATTTTTATAATTGAAATGTACAAGATGACAATGGATACCTATTTGTAGATATCCATTATTTTAGCCTTGGGTGTTTCACTCTATGTGAGTTGCTGTTGCAAGTTAATGTTTAAAATTATATATTGTGCTCAGGTAGAGTGTGGTCAAAAGTCCATTGAACATTTTTTGTGGTTTGAGAGTTCATTTAAAACTTATTCATTAAAGTTTTGGCTGGAAGGGCGGGGTAGAAATTTAATAAATCAAAGTTGTTACATAGGTGCTACCAGTTTTTTCATATTATTGCTGAGACACCTGCCAAAAGCTTTCAGCATGGCTAAGCCAGTGTCTTAATATTGTAGAAGTTTTGGTTCCTTTCAACCTGCCAGCTTAGTGAAAGTATTCATTAAGTTTCTGGCTCCTTGCCAACACTTCCTTAGGCTACAGATTGGTCTAAAAAGTGTTAGAATCATCTGATTCTCTGAAGATCAGTTGGAAGTGTTCTGTCTGGCCCCAACTGTTCCCGCTGAAACCCAGAGAATTGTGCAGATCACCCAGTGTGGCAGAGCTTGGACTTGACTGAAGTGTGCTTTAACGGAGCACCCTTCCACTGCTCATAGATTCTTGATCAGGGGAATGCTGAAGCAGTACCTGTTTTTAGGTTGGTAATGCCCAATCCCTGACCTGAATTTTAACAGTGTTGCAATGTTGCCCATAAATTGAGAATATATCAGAACTATTCTGTGTGAGGCCTAAGTAGATAGTGAGGAATAGGCAAAGAATGCCAGGCTAAACAATTGGAAGAGTCTTTAGTGCCTTTGGGATGCAAAACAAGGTGCAGATGGGGATGGGCATTTCCATATGCTTCTCAGTGAATTCAGGCCATAATGTCCACACATGTTAGAATCATTGGCAAGTAAAATCAAAATACTCAGAATGATGGGGGAATATAGATGGTCAATTATCAGCCCTACTGTATAAGATGTCCAGAGGCAACTGCAGATCTTCTTGTGTAAAGCTCACCAGGGAGCCAGATGTTAAGCTGTGAATGTTGTTTTAGCTTGACTGTGAAGAGAGAAATGAGAGATGATGATATGGTAGGATAATTAGCATTTCCATTTATGATGTGCCAGTATCCCATGTATTTTCTGACAGAATTTTTCCTCCTTCACTTGACTTCATGGTGTCCTACTGAGCCCCCAAAGGCTGTCCACGTGTGGTCAAATAAAGCCCTAGCTTCATTTGATAAAGCAGGAACCACATCTGGCTGTAAAATGCTGAGATTACTGCATTAACTCTTTAGAGTGATATCCTTGAGACCCCTTACACAAGCTTTGCTGAATCACATGCAGAAATTCCTGTTTTTAAGATGAACTGGCAGGCACATGATTTGAACCCCATGTCTTTTTTTATAGTTTTCCACCTCAGCTACATTTGGGAAGGCTCACAGTGACCAGAGAACGAATTGCTAGGTTGTTGCCACATTTGGCCTTCTGCAGACAGACCAAAGATAGTGCAGCTGGTAAAATAAGAACTAGGAAAATAAACTGGTGGCTTGAAATCTAGTTGGTGGTAGAGTCTGAGGATAGTCTGTGGAAAAATTGTGATAACAAGGGATTAATGGAACATTGGTATATTTTGAAGCCCTTGGGGCTCAGAGGGATTTGGGTAGGCAGATAGGTCCATGGGGGTGACTATCTGTAGACACGATTTGCTGTAAATTTGTGTTGCATAGGCATCAATGATAGGTTCCTTATTGCTGCTTGGTCCTGGCTCGTGATTACTTGAACTGGGACATAAGTGATCAGATTGTCTTTGAAAGCAGCTGTCAGTGCAAGTTTCCCACCTGAGCTGCGGCACACCATTTTAGGTCCTTTGTTGCCAAGCTTGAGAATCTCTCCTGTATAAGAACATTGCTAAGGGCATCAGTTCATATTCCTTGCTCTATGATGATCACCTTACAAGACCTTTGTGAATTTTAGAGCCCATGTAGGAGTCCATTTCATCTCATCACACACTTTGTTGGGAAGCATTATGAAAAATTGCTAAGAACAGTCCTTGCTGGTGAAACACTTCCATAGCTGCCTCTCAAAGCAGCATGGTAAAAAGTCAGTTTGATAAATCATATTGTATTGCAAATGCACAAGAGATCTCTTAGTAAATGTTGCCTATTGGGCATTCCTTTCAAATGTATCCAAGTTTTTGAATGAAAAGTCCAAGCAAATATGACAGATATTGCCCAAGATGTATATAAATCAGCTCTGAAAAGCTGGATGTATTAGAGCAAAGATCTTAATGTCAACCTGAGAAACAGTTTTTAATGACATGATGCAGGTCAGCATTTTCTAGTAAATTGGTACAGGTGCCAGAGTTTTCCCACTGAGTATGGGAGAGGGCAGAGATGTTCAAGGTTTTGTTTAGAGGCAAGGGAGGGTTCCAAGATGACTGCTTTGCTCTGGCTGTCAGCATCAGCAATTGGAACACGCTTAATTCACTCTTACACAGCTAATAACTTGTCAAATCAATATCTGCAACTCATCTCTTATTAATTGATAGCTCCCTGATGATTGCTCTTACTGTTACATGTAAACCGAAGGACACTTTGCTCTGCTGTACAAAAGCAGATGTAGGAAAAAATACATATTTTGCTTTAGCAAAATACTCTGTATTCAATATGCAGTTTTCAGGTTCTCAAGATAGATTTTTTAGGGCCATTTTATGGAAAGGAGTAAAATTCTAATGTCTAAATTCCCAGCTAGTCTCCACCCAGAGACACAGAATCTCAGCACAGCTTTGAAATATGCCTGGGAAATGTTGTTTTGTAGTTCTTCTGCTGTGATAAAAGCTGTAACTGTTTATATGATTTACAGTAATTTTTGATAAGGGCCATGCTTGTTTTTCTAGAGTAAGCACAACTAGCTGTATCTGACCCAGGATGCACATGAAGCATCTTCTGAAACTTAACAACAACAACAACAACAACAACAACAAAAGAACAAATGAAACATTACTCAAATTGCTTTTTGTTTAACTGTAGGAAGTGAAGATTTGATGCAGCAAGTGTGTAGATGTGATCATACTATAACTGTATTATGTGAAATCAAATGCAAAAGTTTTTTTAACCAATTAGTAATTATAATGATAGAAGCCATTCTTTTTCCTTGAATATTCTTTAGATCATTAAGTGAAGGTCTTATTTCTCAGCAGAGCAGTGAGCATGGGTTAGATCTGAGTTTTCTTCACTGGTTTGTGGATGGTACAAAGAGGGCTACATATATTTATTTTGGTCTGTATGGTTGCTTGCAACCAGCTTGCCTTCTGGGAATTTTGTGTTCCTTCAAAATTTATATCTTAGTTTTTCAATTCCACCTCACGCCAAACCCTATATTTAAATTTTCTGTGAGCTGCACTTTAAACAAATTTGCCCAGTTCTGTAGATACTAAATTAGATTCCATAGCCTTTTCTGGGAAGAACTTGGCAGATGTGCTATAACTACTGTTTTTCAGTGTACTAGTTCTAATTTTGTGGGTGGGAAGGGGGGGTGAATGAGAAGAGTATACATGTGTGACTCAAAATCACCCATAAGTATTTTGTGTTTAATACATTAATTAAGGAAACCTTTAGCATTTGGGAACTGGCACATCCCGAACTCTCCAGTTCCTGAACTGCAAAATGAGTGGCGACAGCCCGGTAATGTGGATCATTATTTGGCCTGCCAGCATCCAGCCTTCCAGTTAGAGACCACTTGCTTTTTTGCATGCATCTTGCTGACAGCGTTGCTCTGCATATACATCAAGCATTCACTTCCATCAAACTTTTAGGCAGCATTAAAGAAATGAGAGAACAGCAGTCGTCCAAACCAGAGTATTTATATGCATTTAAGAATAAGCTGGAGTGAAGGTTCTGTAGTTCTTTTTTTCTGTCCAAAGGCAGAGATCTCGGTAGCCCTCTGCATATAGTGGTGCATTCATTGTCTTTATTATTCATGTGCATGCAGATACAAGTCAGGGATGATGTGGAAAGAGCATTTGTCTGAGGGGGAAGTTCAGTGAATGGGCTTCAGGGGAGTGTGTTGGATTTAATACAGTAGATAATCATAATCAGAATTTCAGCTTTCCCTGTATTTAAGGCAAGAAGACTGGACTTGGAAGCTTTGACTAGTGTCAGGTTTTGGGGCGGTGTTGATAGCCTGATGATTATCCTTTCTATGTGTTTTATTAAAAAATCTTCCCCCAGCCCTTCCATGGAAATTTGTCTTATAAATTCATAAAACTATAATAAGGCACTAAAATAACAAGTAAAACTACTGCAGTAGGAATAACAAAGTAATTGAAGCATGGTCAGTTAAACTAATAAAAACATCACTGAAAACAGGGAACTCCCCCCTCCCAGTTATATAAATACCAAACAAATAAGAAACTAAAACTAACCTCTCAGTGGGCAGATTTAGTAGCCTTGCTACTAAAAAAGAAAGGTGGTGGTGGTGGTAGTTCTGCACTCTGGGTACTGTCATAGAGAAGGTGATCTCCGGTAGCTGCCTGCATGATCTTGGAAGGCAGGAGGATCCAGTGAAGGACCTGTGACAAACCTAGCTTGCTGGCGCATGTGGAGGATGGTGGTTCTTAGGAAAACTGTCACATCCAAGAATGTCATGAATTTGATACCAGGATCAGCTGTGAGCAGTGTTCCCTCTAAGCTGAGTTAGTGTGAGCTAGCTCACAGTTTCTTATCCTCCGGCTCACACATTTTTGCCTTAGCTCAGGAAGGATGGCTCCAGAGGAAGCTAATTGATGCAGCAGCCAAATCGCTCCCACACAACTTTAATGCCAGTCACTCACAAAGTAGAATTTTTGCTCAAGACTCCCACAGCGTAGAGGGAACATTGGCTGTGAGTTACGCAGTTTTTTGTGTAAAATCTGAGTGGTCTTGTTTGGTTAGAAATGTCCAACTTGCTTGTGGGAAGCACTACAGATCTGATTTGTGGGATGACTCTTCTGCTAGGTGCCTGCACATAAATTGTTTTAATTCTAATGCAAGCAGGCATCCGGGCTGTGTGAAGGAGGCTCACCTCTTCCATTGTGAGAGACAGTGTTAAGAATCTGAAAAATCTGAGTTCACGTCTTCACCTTCTCATGAAACTCACTGGGAGACCTTGGGCCAGTCAGTCTCTCTGTCTAACCATACATAGTTATAGTGAGGTTAGAATAGGGAAGGGAGAATCACATAGGCCTCCCTGAACTCCTTGGAGGAAGGGTGGTATAGAAATGTGCTACAGAGTTGAGGAATTAACCTGATTTATTATAAAGGCATTTATGTCAGCTCGGTATCTGTAGTCTTAGTTATCCATGAAAAAGGCACACAGAAACAGCAACTGCCTGCCTGATGAAATGTGTACTTCTCCCTGCCGCACCTCCTCCAATTTATTTTTACTGGGTATTTGGCAAGTAAGATGGGGAGAGAAATGCAACTCAAATTAGTCAAAAGCTGGAGAAGCTGCATCTGCCTTCTTAGCAATGGACTGTGGGCAGTTGTTTTTTTGCACCCCACCCCCAGCTTTAGCTCACTGGGACTTCCCCCTCTGAGATAGTGCATTGGGGGGGGGGGTTGGGAAGTTATGTGTGCCTTAAGTCATATAGGTTTTTCATAAATATTTTAAAGGAATATGTTAATTTCAAATGGGGTGAGTAATTGGAAAGCATTCCTATTTGTGCGTGATAGAAGTTTTGAGACACATAAGGACTTGGGAACGTTAGTTTTAAGCGTTAGTATGTGAGTATGAGATGTTCTCAGTGTCCCAGAATATATTCTTGAAGGATTTTTCTCTTTATACAAAACATCCCCCCCCCCCCCCCCCTGAAATTAAAAAATCCCCTTTGAATGGGGGATAATATTTTAAAGGAATATGTTAATTTCAAATGGGGTGAGTAATTGGAAAGCATTCCTATTTGTGCGTGATAGAAGTTTTGAGACACATAAGGACTTGGGAACGTTAGTTTTAAGCGTTAGTATGTGAGTATGAGATGTTCTCAGTGTCCCAGAATATATTCTTGAAGGATTTTTCTCCTTATACAAAACCTCCCCCCCCCCCCCATCCTGAACATTAAAAATCTCCATTGCATAGGAGGAGGAGAAAGGAATCTCTAATAAACCTGTGTGGTTCTTCTTGTGCTTAAGGAAATAAAGGCTTGCATGGATCACTTCACCCTGACCTGGATAGCCCAGGCTAACTTGATCTCAAAAGCTAAGCTGGGTCATCCCTGTTTAGTACTTGGGTGGGAGATAACCAAGGAAGTCTAAGTTTGATTCGCAGAGGCAGGCAATATGGATCGTGTCTGTGTCAGGGCAACAGATGATCACTCTATAAGCATTTTTTCAGCTTCGTGGTGCTGGGTATTAGTAGGTCAGTAGTAGAATTAGATTTACCTGAGACCTGTCACAGCGGGGTGGTGGTGGTGTTAAAGTAGTTGTTTGCAATGCATTGTGAAATCTGTAATCTTAGTTACTGCTTTACCTGCATTTTGTGTCTATATACCTTTGAGACTTTTTCTGCCTGTACACTCTCACAAGGTGATCTCTTCCTTCTCCTCCCCCTACCCTGTATTTGCAGCAATTGAACCACCCCAACATAATCAAGTATCTGGATTCATTTATTGAAGACAATGAACTTAACATTGTGTTGGAACTGGCAGATGCAGGTGACCTCTCTCAGATGATTAAGGTAATGACGTTAATTTCTTAGGCTGCAAGATTACTCTGAAGTGGAGAGCATCTGGGGAACAAACAGGAAGCTGAAACCAGTGGCTTTTTTTGCCAAAGTGTAAAAGATACCTTAGAATGGGGACGCAGTCATTTCAGAAAGCAGAGCTGCAGTAAATGTCCTACATGATGATGCACTTGATTCATAAGAAGGTTTCCATTATAGTATTAGAAAAATGCTGAATTTCTTAAGGGTGGCAACAACACAAAGAGCTTAGATGCCTGAGCCAATCCAGACCAAAGTCTGATTTTGAGGCTGCTGCAAATGCAGATCTCTATGACAGGATATTCCCTCCTAGGCCAAGTTGATGGAGCAGCTTTTCCATTGACAGGCACTTTTAATTGGGAGGGAGCAACTGAAGGCTTTTCAAAAACCCTCTTGTCCTTCTTTGCCTGCTTGAATTTAGGCCTGAGTTGTTTCAGATGGCTGCTCTTTCCTTGCATTGTGCAACTAGCTTTTGCTCAGCTGTTATCACCTGTTTTTTAATAGTTTCTTTGACATGTTTATCTTGAGTTAGGCATCCCCTGTGAGAACAGATGTAGCCTCTCATATTTTCCTGTTTTGCCACCACTGATCTGAGATGATAGTAAACAATCCTTTAAGAAACTTGCCCCTCCTCCTTAGTGCCAGGCTTTGGGCTTTTCTCAATACCCATGAAAGCCCTGCTTTTGTTCTTAGAGTAATTCTTGTGCAAGCTGCAGTCATTTTCTGTTGTGTGATATCCCACCCACCACTCATAAGGGATTGGAGGATGCGGAGTAACCATGCACTGCTTTTGACAAAAGATGGGTATGTGGCTCTATAGATCAGGAAGCATAGCCTTCTGTCACGGCTCAGGTAGGGTGTCACCTGACGCTGACGCCACTCTGAATTTAGGTTCCCTTGAGAAGGCCCAGAGCACCCTCCCAAGACCTTCAGACCTCCCTTTTGGCTGAATAACAGGCGTGAGGACCAGGCAGAGTGAAACAAGGAAAAGGTTTATTTTATAGGAGGTCAAACAACAAGGTGCAGAATAATAAAAGTAAGTGGGTGAAAAGAAAAGAAATCAAATGCCCTAACGCGTCTAAATATATACTGTCCCTAGCTCACTATTCCAAGTGACACTAGACTACTCACCCTTCCCTCAGGATGAGGGTTTCTTCCTGCAGCAGCCTTCCGTCTGGCTCTGCCCTCTGGGAAGAAAGAACAGCTTCTGCTCTGGCACCAGCCCTTTTGTTCCCCAGCCCTCTTCTTCCTTATTGGTCAATTTTGGCTCCAAAACCTCTCAGGGGCTTCTGGGAGTTGTTGGCCCAGCCTCACCTACTGCTAGCCAGGCCCCCTGGGCCTAGTAGGTCTATAGTGGCACAGCCCAGATCATGACACCTTCAAATAATTCATTTTTGTTAAAGTGGCAGTTGGGATATGCAGTACCAACTTAAAAATTGTTCTCATTTCTGAGTAGTAAAGCCCTGCATCCTACAGAGCAGATGTCAGAATGGATCCAATTAGTACCCATGTTAGTTGGAAATGCCCAACTTTTGAAGGTTTTTGGGTAGAATTTTTTTCAGGGCTTTGACCTTAGGAACGCATATATTGATTCCAGGTAGACATCCAAAATGCCCATTTCAGAGTCTGCCCTACTGTTTTGCTATAGTATTTCTTTATTTAGTTGCTTTGGATGAAGTCAAGGGCTGACCTTAGCATAATGTTTTAGTAGAATGATCTAACTCAAACCCTAGGGCTGATGCAAGGTGACATTCTCTCTAGTTCTTTTGATGGAGCTGCAAGTGCCTGTGAGGCAGTGGCCCAGGCTAGTTGTTGCATTTCAAAGTTAACCAGTGCTCAGCCCAAAATGAATTACATCTGCAAGTGCAGAGTTCCCTTTTTCTTTTGAGCGCTGACATTTTTCAATCTGTGTCAGAGAGATGGTGATAATGTGCTATAGTGGATTGACTGTGGGACCCAGGTGCACATCAGCTGCAAAGCTTATTGGGGGACCTTGGGGCACTTATTGTCTCTGAGTAAGCTACTCTACAGGGTTGTTGTGAGGATAATTTTTTTAGAGGGAAGACCATATATGCTTAACACATGCAGCGAGTCATCTGTTCTGTTACCGGAGAACAGATGTGATTATTGTAAAGGAGGTTTTGAACAGCTTCATTTCCCCCCTCCAGCAATGAGTGCGTTCTCACTGGCCACCCCATATCTTTGGAACTTACTCCCCATGCAGATACATTACTGCAGGATTTCTGAAGTTGGCTGAAGACTTTTTTGTTTTAAGAACACCTTTTTAAATTGAGTTCTCGCCTGATTTTATTTATTTATTTCGATTTATTCCGATTTATATCCCGCCTTGCCTGCACAGACAGGCTCAAGGTGGTGTACAGCAGTTAAAATACATTAAAACACGGATGCAAAGGTGCAGTACTATAAATTACTATAAAATTTCACAACAACAATATATATAAAAGTGCAGTTAAGTGCAGATGGCTATTGCTGTAAAATAATCCAATGTAGCTAAGCTGGTATCTGAGTTGTTCTTAATGCCATTAACGTGAGGGCTGTAACAGTTCAGTTTTTAATAGCTTAATCATCAGTGGTGGCTCCTAATCGAAGGCCTGGTGGAAGAGCTCCATTTTAAAGTATGTTAAATTCTTACTGTTTTATTTGCTTTTTAAATGTTATTGTTGTGTCATTTTTGTATTCTGTTAATTTGCAACCCATATTGAGTTCTTCTCTTAAAGTGGAAAGGCAGCATATAATGGCCTAAATAAATGAATAATTGCTTGCTGTCTTAAACTTGGGGGGGGGGAGAATGAGGCAAATGAAGCAAGGAAAGATGGCTTTAGTGATGTTTGTGGACAATCTCAGTCTTCAGATGGACAATGGAGTGCATCTCTACTATTGTTGATAGATCAGTCAGCAGCCTTTGGTTCAGTACCGAAGTGCCTGAAAGGTGAGGTGGGTCTGGGAAGAGCAGTGCTGAGAGGTCTTTTCTATCAAACTGATTACAAAAAGTTGCAGTGGGAGATGCTGATTCATCCCCTTGGGAGCTGACATGGAGGATGCTGTAAGGCTCTGTGTTATCTCTCATGTTGTTTAAGGCGCCTTAATGAGATCACCCAACCTTTTGGAGTAGGTTGTCATCATTATGCTGACAACACCCAGCCATATATTACTTTAAATAAGCCACCATTGGCTGCTGTCCCTATCTTAGCTAGGGGTGTGCATTCAGTTTATCCCAGCTGGAAAAACCCCACCCCCCTAAAATACCTTACTGGTATTTTTGGGGTATTTTTCAGCTAGATATCAGCTGGGGTATTTATCTGGCTATCAATATGAATGAGCCTGAAAAATCCTGAAAATATTTAGGATTTTTCAGGGCTTCCGGATAGCTGCCGTTAAAGGGTGTTTAAAGGGATTGCAGTCCCTTTAAACACCTTCCAGGTGAAGCAGCAGCTTGGGGAAGGCATTTAAAGGAACCGTGGTCCCAGTCACATGGGCCGGAAAATGCGGTGGGGAAGCATGGCTGTTTGCCCCGGAGCAAAATAACGTGCGGCCGCCCAATCACACATCCTGTCGAGGTCCCGTGGTTAGGGGGTGAGGTGCCGATCACATGGCTATCCTGCAGCGCAGCAAAGAAGTGGCACGGTGCGATCACAGCAGCAATCGCTAGGCGCCGCTTCCATGGCAAACAGGTGTGGGTTTTTTTACCAGTTTGTGTGCATGCGCCATTGGGCGTTTTTGCGCATCCTGCGGAGACTTGGGGGGGACACCCCTTGTTTGCGAAGGAACATCGGCGGGCGCCAGATGCCACGGGATTCCACCGGAAACGCAATTGAACACCCGCCCTTGCCCCGCAGTGTCCGGAAACCAGTACCTCATAAGTACTAGTTTTTTAGTCTTCGGCGGGAAGGCACGGGATAGCCACGGGAGCACTACGCTTCTCAGATGTTGCAGTGTGATCGCGCCCAGAACATCCGCCTATCATCCATATCTTTAGCATGGCAAATGCTCCATGTGACCGGGGCCCGTGTTCCCTTTAAATGCCTTTCCCCCTATCCATTTGAAACAATGGGGGATGGAGGCACCATCTTCTGGGGGGCCCTGTTCCAATCTTTTTGAAACTTGGAGGGATTTTTGAGGAGAAACACTAGCAGCTATGCTGCAAATTTGGTTCCTCTATCACAAAAAACAGCTCCTACAGAGCCCCAGGTATGATCCCAGTGGGGATCATTGACTATAATGGTCTCTATAGGGTATAATGGAGAAAAAAAAATTGGCAATCCTGAATATTTACCAAATCTGAATACCATACCAGTATTGGGATTCAAGAATATCGGGAAATACCAATATTTTTTTGGGTTCAATGTACCTGAACGCGAAACATACTGATTTTTTTTCCTTGCACACCCCTAATCCTAGCCCAATGTCTAAATGCAGTGGTCAAATGGATGAGGGAGAACAAACTGAAGCTGAATCCAGAAAAGATGGAGGTGATGCTGGTCAGAAGGGCTACTGATTTAAATGGGTTTGTTCTTTTTATGATTGATAGTGTGCAGCTTTTGCTGAAAGACTCTGTAAAGAGCTTGGGAGTCTTACTGACTGTCATCTTCTGTTGGATAAAGAGTTATCTGTGACAGGGAATCCATGACAGGCAGCAGTTGAATGGAGAGAGGGAGAGAGAAGCCTCTCCAAGTGTTGGGAAAACCACATGGGTGCCATGTGCCAGGGAGAGACCTTGGTCAACCAGGCCTGGAGGGCATGGTGGAATAGAGCCTACAGGTCAGATCATGACTGTTCCATCACACACTTCATGACCCATGGTCCGCGTACTTGAAGAACTGCCTCCCCCAGTATGTATCCATGCAGCAGCTTCACAAGTCCCAGCATGGTCTACTAGCAGTACCCTCCTCCCATCTAAGGCACATGTAGTAGCATTATGTCCCTACTCTTTCTCAGTGACTTCCCCATGCCACTGGAACAGCCTCCCAGAAGAGGCCAAGGGGGCTCCTGGGATCCTGGCTTTATGGCACAGCTGCAAATCAGAGTATTTCAAGACAGCTTTTGGGGCAGCCTGAGTCTGGGCAAAGGGGAAATACTCTGCTGATAGGAGCATAAGGAGTTTCTAGATTGGTTTTTAATGTTTTATATCTGTTGTTCTGATGTTTATTTTATTAGTCTGTTCTCATATTGTTACCTGCTTTGGCTCCTGAGATGTTCAGGAGAAAGGCAGGCATATAAATGTTTGAAATAAACAATACACAATGTTAAGTGTAAAAGCATTTTAGTATAATAAACAAGGGGTGGACCCGCGATACTCGCGGGGGGGGGCCCTTGAAGAGAATCTGGGATTCCTAGAGACTCGTTTTAAAGTGCACGCTACCCGGTTGTGTGAGAATTTCCCCAGCATTTTCTGCCTCCTTTTAAAAAAATTTAAAATGCGGCACCTACAGCTCAGCAGCCGCCAAACGAATCGCCCTCCCCCCAGGCCAGCAGGTCTTTCTCCATCCCTAGCAAGTTTTGAAGAAAGCTCTCAGCGGAGGGAAGAAGCCACTGAGGCGGCAAACGGAAGAAGAGCCTGTGGAGACGCTCAAGCCAAGGGACGCCGCCGGGGAGATGGTCTGCGAGCCGTCCCGCCCCCCAGCTCGCAGGAGACGCGCCAGAAGCTTGTCTGCAAGGCTGCGAAACGCCTTCCCAGTTCAGCTGTCCTGCACCGAATTTCGAAGGAATCCCAAATTTGCTTCTCTGAGATCGAGACCCCCCCCCCCGACCCGGCACTGAAGCGAGGGGCGAGCGGGGAGCCGCTCGCCCCTCGCTGTTTCCCTCCCTCCCCAACCCGGCACTGGCTCCTTAGCAGTCGTCGTCGGTTTTCTCTCCCCCCCACCCCCAGCTCCAAGCCGATGGCCAAGCCACTCGGCCCTCACCGCTCTAGCCCCCCCCGCTCGCCGCTTCCCTTCCAAGCGGCGGCGGCGGCAGCCTGGGTCGCAGAGCATTTCGTGCGCATGCGCACGGAACGCTCTGGCAGTTTCGGGGGGATTTAAACATCTCCCCGATTCTTTTGTCAAGATTTACGATTTTTGTGCACACGTGGGGACTGGCCCACGTGTGCACAAACCTCCCCCGGTCCCCCAGCTGCCCCCGGAGCGCTGATTTAGCGATCCGCACTCCGGGGGCAACTTGGGTATTAGATATATAGATAAGGAAATGACAATTAATGTGGCTAAAACCATAATGGGCTCCTCATGATTATCAACTGAGTACCACCCAGGGTTGCCACTCTCTACAAGTATTTCATGTGGCTTTGGTCTGCTGCTTGGTTTATATATGTCTTGTGTTTCCACCATGTGCTGAATAACACTATGTCTGAAGAAGAGATGCATGTCTGTAAACTCATGTGGCCCTGCTTCCTGCATCTCTGCTATGTGTTTATTACTGTACCTCTCACATTCATCTTTTGTGGTACTTATTGTACATTATACCTTTGGAGGAAAAAATAATTTTTCAGCTTTAAATTAGAATCCAAGTTTTGAGACTTTAATTGTCAGGAAACACCTACCACTTCCTCATCTCTTTCCTATGTGTTCGGGGAGTTGGTAGAAATAGCAGTAGCAATGCTCAGAAGATGGTTTTAAAACCAATACACCCCAAACCCAGAGATCGTCTTTGCTGTGCCCCTGTCATCTGCATTATTTATGAGGCATTATAAAGCTGATGTAACTGAGGGTTGCTTGCAGTACAACCCACTGGAGAATTTTGGCTTTCTGTTAAATGTCAGGGAAATCTTATTGGACATGACATTTAAGAAGATTGCTAATTGTGGCCTAGCATACCCTCCCCTCCATGTTTCAATGAGAGGGAAGCTGGTGTTAGGGAATAAATAATACTTTTCAGCCTCTGCTGCTCTGCAGTATCTCATAATAGGCTTTGCTTTGAAATGCTGGCAAAAGCCGTTATGACTAAAATGCATAAGAGTTCCTTGGCTCTGGGCAAGGCAGGTTAGCTCCAGGACAGTTTTGCGTTGGGAGTATTTGAAGGGATTGAACCTCTACTTGAATGTATGGTGGGAAGTTTCTGAATGCCGCCTCTTTTTACTGCCCAAAACCTGGGTTTCTTAGATCCTAATCTGACATTTTAACCAAGTACATCATGCTCACTCTCACAAGAAGCCTGATGGAAACATGAGGAGAACAAGTACAGCAGAACACGAGATATGCTTTTCTGCAACTCAGGGCTAGTCGGCACTTATGCACAGTCCCTTTAGCTGTAGAGCAGAACTCAGGGATTCCCTCAAACCGAGTCTGAAAAACACATTTGTATTCCTGCCCCAAGCTGACTGCAAGTGGTTCCACATCCAGCTTCTCTAAAAGAGTTGGTACATCTGTTCACACCCTCAGCCAGGGGTCTCCAGCTTTTTTGAGCCTGTGGGTGCTTTTGGAATTCTGACACAAGGTAGTAGGCACAACCTCAAAATGGATTCCTGTGGAGGTGGAGCCAGCCTCAAAATGGCTGCCCTTGGAGGTAGTGCCAGCCTCAACACGTCAGGGAGTGGGGTTATGCAAAAATCTGATACTAACTCTTCAGCATTTCAGGAAGAAGCTCTGACTAACATAATACCTTCTAAAATTAACTTATTGTTTAAAAATAATTTCTTCCATACAGTTCACCTTTAGTCCCTCAGTGAAGATCCTTGTGCTATGGTGGCAGCAGCTGCCAAACAATTTTTTAAAATCTGAACAGCTAATCAGAAACCCTGCTGAATGGCCCTTCACACTTTCTAAAAACACTTGGTGGGCACCAGGGAAAGTGTTGGCGGGCACTATGGCAGTCATAGGCCCCACACTGGGGACCCCTGCCACAGCATTTTCTGGTTTAGGTAGGCTCAACCCCTGAGACAGGAGGATGGTTAGCTCCATAAATTCACTAACAGCAAGGAAGCCTAGCACCTGGAATCTTACAGACAGATTTGTTGTTATAGCCCAGCTAAAAAAGATAATATGGAGGAGCTGTGCTGAAATAGGAGGAAATGTTGATGATTGGATGTATGTATATATGCACTGTGTATTATCTGTGCCAAAACTGATACCTTGAGTCTCTAGCTTGTAGTCAATGGTCAGTCTTTATAATTCAGTGGGTTGAAGTGAAAGCAGGTTCAGTGTCATACCTGCTCTGTTGTTCCTAGGATTTACTTCCCATCCAGCCTTCTTTTCTTTATTTTTGCAACCCTGTTTATTGCCAGAATTCCAAATCCTTGGAAGAAAATAGTGAAAATGGAATAGTATACAAGTGAGGTACAATATGAATGCTAATTTGCCTAATTCAGTGTGTAGAATCTCTGTTGCACACATGCGCACACAGGCTCCAGTGTTACTCAGTATGTTTTGAGAGATTATGTATAAATATTCAAGATATCCTGTGACGTTCTTGATTTGGATGTTTCAGCATTCCTGGCCTTTATACCCATGTGCAGGTTGCTGAGGAAGCTCTGCCACACCTGATCTGGAGGAGTACACCATGGCTTGTTGTTATGTTGTCTAGGGCTTGTTGTTATGTTGTTATGTTGAAGATAGATGATGAACATCTTCAATTTTTTTTAAAAAGAGAGAAATCCTTTTGTTTCTTAAGGCAAAGTATGCCCAACATTTGTTGTTTTCAGGCATTAAATATGTTCTGCATGGTAATTAACTAGATTAATGCTAATTATAATCGGTGTCCATTCAAAAATGTCAAACCTATTTAAGCATCTTTTTCATAATGCTGTTAATTAGTGAATTGCACTGAAGTTTATACACATAGGCAAGGAGTTAACTGCTAAGAGGAGGCTAAGCTTCTCTGCTGATAGTCTTGAGGACACTGGCAAGGTGGCAGCTGGCAGTCATGGTTGCCTTGCCAGAGTAGAGAGACAGGGACATGTAACTGCTTTGTTCATCTTGTTTTTATTTTCTCTCCACAGTATTTTAAAAAGCAGAAGCGGCTAATCCCAGAAAGAACAGTTTGGAAATACTTTGTGCAGTTGTGCAGTGCAGTTGAACACATGCATTCCCGCAGGGTGATGCACAGAGGTAACATTAATTCAGTCTCTTTTCGCTGAATAATAGTATAATGTTCCAATTAGTAAGCGCCTGCATTCAAAAACAATTATGCTGATGTTCAGCCAGTGTGTTTAGAGAGACAGTGGAGCTTGCAAGATGGATTTCTCCTTGTGCCTGATGCCTGATTGTTAAAGCATTCAGCCTAAACTGATCAGGGATTATGAAGATGAGCTCCCTCCAGTCACCATCACTGATATTTGGTAAAAGTGTCAAAGCCTCCATTAGAACTGCGGCAGAAGCATTAATGCTGAGGGTAGTGGGTGTAGCAAGTCTGCGCAATGGCTTCCTTTCAGTAGTGGGGTCCTCCTTAGAGGCTCTAGACTAATGCAGACAGTAGACTCCCTCCAAAAAGCAATCTTTTTTCATTTTTAAATGCACAGTCAGTGTTTTGAAAGAAAGACACTTCAGGGAATACAAATGTGCCACAAAGGAACAGATGCTTGTCCTGCTGCCGTTTTCAAATTTGTCATCTTTTAGATGTAGCAAACATTTTGCTGAATCCACATAGTATTCTGTTCTTTCAAGGTTCCTATGTAGTGCTTTTTCATCAATAGATCTCAAAGGGCTTTCCTTTCATCCCATTGTAAACAGCACAGGAAACCCATGAGTTAGGCTGCTATTTCTTTTCCTTTTTTACAGATGTGAAACTGGTGCTCAAGAAGCCCTTTCTGCAAACCTCCTGGCTGTGATATCCTTATCAGCATACCATTTTTCTAGAATTAAAGGGAGGAATGCTGTTGCTATGAATAGGTTCACATTTTTAACACAAGCAAATATTAGGGATAAAGAGGTGTTTTTTGTTGCGTGTGTCTGTGTGAGAATGTCTTTATTGTTGCTTTCTGAAAATGTAAACTGGTTTTGTAAAAAGAAAACTAGTCTTCCAAAGCATAACATATTCTATACAGCTCTGGTGTTTCTGTCTAATCTAAAAATTTTGTCTGGTATGCAAAATATACTGAGAAATGTTCCTGCTTTTAAAAAGGAGTAGGAAAATGCCTTGGGAGATGTAGGAATGAGATTACAAATTGTGGAAACTGGTTAGCTGTCTTGGGGAATTTGACCTTCTTTCTTTCTCTCCTGTTTTCCAGACATAAAACCAGCCAATGTGTTTATAACAGCTACTGGAGTAGTGAAGCTGGGAGATCTCGGACTGGGCCGCTTTTTTAGCTCCAAAACCACTGCCGCACATTCCTTAGGTAACGTTAATGATAACCCAACTCAGTTGGCACCTCAGCTTAAGAAAACTTGCTTGTTAAAAAACTGCTTTTAAAAATCTATTAATGGTTCAGTTCTCTTTGTTATGATCAACACCCAAAGCTTCACAAGTTCCTTTCGCCACAACATTGTTCTCCTTGGATGCCCCAAGCAGCAATTTCTAAAGATCTGAAACATTCTGTGTAAGTTGGTGAGCAAAGTTCTATGAAGACCTGAAAAGGAGAATTTTGATTAGTTCACTTGAGTTCTAAAAGCATTCAAGAAAGGGCTTTGTGTCTCCTTACCCCCTTCCTCCCCCCCCCCCCAAAAAAAAACTATCTTGTGCCCCTCAGAACACTGAGAGCTGTGCAAAATTGTTATGCCTTGACTTTTAGGAAAGGGTATACTGTGGGTACCCATTTTGTCCCAGAGGCCATTCAGAAGTTCTGCTACCTGGTCAGGTGACTGCAGCCTATGGTTTGTAGCCCCTTTTCTGTCTTCTAATAGCCAGTCTGCTTGGAGAAGGTCTGATGATGCCCTGTGATTTAGTCTTTATCAGACTTGTCCAGCAAATGGGCATTTTGTATCTCAGAATATGTCTGGAGAGGAAACTGCTGAGAGCTGATTTTGGTGTATCTATAAATCACTGTAATGGTAAAGCACAAGGAGGAAAAGATGGCGGAAGGCTTCTGGTGTGGAACTTTGCATTCTTGCTATACTCTATCTAGGTCTTCTCATTGGCTCACAGTTAACTTGCATACAGATCTCTGTGTGGAGTTCCTTCTAGCTACTATTCCACTGCTATTTGCAAAATATTAATGTTCATGTTGTTGTTGCCCCTGTTGCTTTCTTTGGTGGCATTCCACATCCCAATCTAAAGACCTGAAAACTGGGCTTGTGACATATTTAGTGATCTTCAGCATCATGAAAACATGGTGGTCTCTGATACTGTTATCTCCACACTTTTCAATGGAGGCATATTAGTAGCTCCTCTGTGCTTCCTGTTAATGCTTCCTAAGGTCTTCTACTGCCATGAGCAGAAACTGGAAGAAACCAGACTTTATAAGCCAAGCCTAAGAAGTTCCACTTCTTAATCTGGCTTTAAGAAATGACTTAAAATCAATATTTAACATGTTCTCTTGGTGTAGATTTCTCAGAACTATGTCAGGTTTGATCCAATCAGCTTTTTCACTCAGTATCACCTAGTTTTCTTTGTTTCCACAGCCCTTATCCCATATGGCTTTTGTCTATATAGAACCTGTGATCTCCAATGTAATCTTTTTGTGTAGTCAATGAAAGAAACCCCATTCCTTTTTCGTCACAGGAGAAGCTGGTTGGATCTAGCCCACTTTGTGTTTGTGCAGTCATCCACAAGGGATGTTCAGGACTATGTGTGGCAGGCCTTGAACTGTGAGGGACGGGAGAGAAGAGAGCTGCTGTGGTGTGTTGATTGTGGGTCAAGGAATTTGAGATTTGTTTGCTACATACACAGTATTCTGTTCTGTCTAAAACACTTAGTTTGGCAAGAGCTTTGGCTGTGGAATGAGACTATGGCATAACATACACTGGCAAAACAAGAAAGGGTAGTTTTGGTCAGTGGATATACTAGATACAAATACTTATCAGACAGACTCTGCACTAAAAATGTTACACACGTGACACAAGCTGAGCCAGAAGTTCTGTGTACATGAGTTACAGCTTTAATTTGTGGTCCAGAAAACAAAGATTAGCATGATACTAATGAGATACTCTTGGAGAATGCAGAAAGGGAGTGTTATGTTAGAATTTATCAAGCCCAAGAGAAGATCTCCCTCTCCCACCCAGGGCATAAAATGTCACTTTACCCATGCTCCTTCTGGCCTGTTGTCATCCAAGACTGCAAAGGAGAATAAACTTTGCCACACCAGCCTAGTTGTCAGGAGGAACAGGATTAAAGTATATATTGTTTACAGTAATACAAAATGAATTTGACTTCCTTGTGGTGGTATCAAAGGACACATACACCTTGAGAAAGTTCCAAAAGAATCCTTCAAAAATCTGCCTGTTCCTTCCTAATTTGCCTCTTTTAGCAAACTAGTTTTTCCAGGTCCATCCAATATGATCAAATACAGTTTTAGTATGCAATTAAGTGAACCCTGATTCAATTTTGTAGAATGAAAACCAAAGCCCATAATGAGCTGAACAACTCCATCACTGAAGGGGTTTGAAATGCCACAGGTATTTTCTGGGGCGTATGAATACCCCTCTACATGTTTCTACTTGAGTGACTCTGGGAAAAATGTATTTGAACACAGTTGGTTTTTTTTCCTCTGAGGACATAGTGAATGTGCTGATAACTTCTTTGGTGAAGGAAGCATAGCTGTATGCTTGTGAGACTTTTAAAGTCTCAGAAATAAAACTATCTGATGTGTTTCAGTAACCATGCTGGGGCTTGCCCAGAAAAGTTCTAGTTGTTGTAGCAAAGATCTTGTATAGACTGTTAACTAAGCATCTTTCTAAGGTGCTACTGGACTTGTATCTAAGCATTCTTATGTGACCTTTGATATCCCTTCTTTTGTGAAAGTAGTTCTTATTTACTCAACACTCTCCACAGTTTAAGGGCAAAATTGTTCAGGGATTCTGAAGTCTTCTGTGCTTGCTAGCTTTATGTTTAAATTATAGTTGACAATGTGAATTATTAATGGAAGAGAGGGCATATAGATCAGAAATCCAACTTTCAAACAGGTTATGCATATAGCCAGGTGGTTCACAGCATATAGCTTCACAGGAGTAGTTCATTTGTGAGATTTTCATTATTTTGAGTCTTCCATCTCTATTTGTCCAATAGAAAGTGCCCTTTTAATACTGTTTTCTTGCCAGGTTCCGATAGCAAGGACACAAAGACATATGTCATTATTGACATTCCTTCATTTGTAGCTTCCTCCTCAGTGCAGACTTGCCAAGTCCAAGTATAGGCTGCTTTTGGAAGCATTGTGTAAGACCTGCCTGCTGGGGTTGGTCTTTGTCCTCATAGGAAAGGGTGTAAGTTTCAGTGGGTTGGATCCAGTGATTCCCTATCACTGTAATGTGTCTTCCTTTGACAGAAAGAACCTTGCTGCAATGGAGGAAGATGCTTTTTTGGTGAAAGGGAGTCATCAGATTTAACCCAGTGATTTTTAGTTCTTTTTTATTTAAAGTGTATTGCTTTCATTCCAAACTCTTCAGGCGGGCTAAATAAATATTGCTCAAACCGTCAAGCCATGACAGTTTTCTAGGAAGGAGTGACCTCCTTTGATAGCATTAACATGTTTCAAGTATCATCTTGTCTGGCTGCATTAGAAGTCTTTGCAGTTATACCTGATGTCCTGTTCTTAACCATCTAGTTCATGGGATGCCCATCTGACCAACCCTCTTTGTGCCACTTCTCATATTCACTTTGAGTGCATCTTAAATGTTTTTGAGTTGTTGCTTGACGTTACAGCATTAATTGCATAGATGCATAACCCTTGGTTGCTATGGTGAAGATATTTTGTGTGTTCTCGTGCATTCTACAGAAAATGGCACGAATGCTACTCTTCAGGTATATGTGGGGGCAAGCTGTGCCATACCAAAGAAGTCTCCCTCTTCCTAGCCATTTAAAATTACATCAGCTGAAGGCAGAAATGGGTTCACGTCCAGTGCTATGATTTTATCCTATTTGACTGTTGTAGTTATTAAGCATAAATTAAACATGGGATCTAGTAATACCCAGAAGCCAGGCAGCCAGTGTCAGACATTCCAATTGAGAGAAGTGCATATTCTGAAGCCCTCCTTGATGGCTACTGTTGCTGTACCTCAGGGAAATGACATCCAGGAAACAAGTTAAAAGATGTCTGAAT